TCATTTATCTTTCACCTCAGACATAAAGTGTCATTTAGGTAACAGGAGCAAAGAATCACAGGCAGGCATTTAGTCCACTTTATCACGGACTGTCAGTAGCAATGTGCGTGTGAGCAAGGCTTAACGGTGAAAAGGTGAAGAGTCTTGTCCTCATTCCTAAATGTTCAGATCCTCCTTCAAATTCAGCATACAGTAACCATCAGTCATATGAAAAGTTTTCAAAAGTTGGAAATTGTACAGCATTTTCAGAGAAAGTGTGTGAAGATTTTAAAGACCAAAATCAGCAAGGTCCCAACTTCTCCCACCATGAAGAGTTTCAAAATGGCAAGGCTGAGCAAGTAACAGTGTTTCCATTAATTCATTCTCATCCAGACACACTCTCTAAAATATGACTTTTGGCTCTTTCCTTGGCCAAGTGACAAAAGAGAGCTTAAATGCCATGATGTTTTGATAAACCTGGTCTCCTATGGCATATAAGGGGATACTACCCTTACTTGCATCTACTGCAGAATCTGGGAGATGCTGTGTTGAAAATCTGCAACTCTGAGGAAAAAAGCTGAAGTGAAGTGAACTGGAATGTGTGGTGGGAGCAGGACATATTTGAAAATATTCTTTGTATTTTCAATATAAAATTTATCTCAATGAAAACTAAAATRGCATTGCTAAAGAGATTTAAGGAGAAAGGGTGCTCTTCAGACAKGAGATAAAGTCAAACTGAAACCTTTAGTAACTGAATAGACAATTTTTTACCTCAGTGATAAACATTTCATTTCAATTATAGAAATACTTGACACCTAGAAAACACAGAAAACCACTTGGTATGAATGCACACATATGATTTACTGACAAAGTTCGTTCCCTGCTCCTGACGGAGAGGAGATTTGACCACTCTGGTCTACTACTTTGTAATGTGCTCAGACTAGTATTTCAAGCTACTGTATAACATTAGTTGCATGTCAGATCCCTTGGAGCACAAGTTAAACAAAAATTCATCAATTAAAAATTGTCATCAAAACAGAAAAAAACTGTTCATTTCTGTCTCTCTCCAATATACCGCAGTGATGATGTTGAAGAAAAAAGACTACTAAGAGGGTTTAAGTAATTTCTGGACTGCTTACACTTTCCCCCCACACACACATGTTGGTTATGTATTAATTCTGCAATCTCTGTCTCAGTTAAAGATAACCAAGTGCTGAAAGAAAGCCAACCAGCACCGTGTCAGCTGGTACACTGCTTGGTTCAAAAGGAAACATGATTGCTCAAACACCCGGGACTCATTCCTGTCTCCTGAAGTGGGAAGTGACAGAGCTCACCTCRGGCAGCACAAGAGTGACACACAGAAGGTAWATACTTCTGAAATTGTTAGAGCTGTGACTTAAATGATGCTATGCCTCTTTTCAGGAAAACAGGGATAATTGCATACAGATATTTTATGTGAAATAATCCGAAAAGTTCTGCTAGAAAGAGGTTGAGAGGACAAAGAGAGAGGACTGCTGTAGACTCCTAGGCTGACAGAAGAGGCTAGGGTCTCTCATTGCTGTAATGGAAATCGGAGCATTAGATGGGAAGAAGCGGTCTGTTCTCTCCTAGTCAGCAAGGAAATAGGAGTCACAGTTGTGCGAGAGAGAGAGTGAAGCAGAGCAAAAGTGTGTGGTGTGTGTGGGTTCAGGAGTACACCTGAGGACACAGGACTTGGGAGGAAGGAGTTCTTGAGCTGAAAAGGAAGGGCATATCCTAATCTCCCAGCTCAACTTCATATATGCTTGGCATGAATAGTTTTTGCAGGTAGCTATGGTATGATAAACTATTTCTTTATATAATTGGAGTATGCTTTGTTAATTTTATATCGAAATACACAGAGACATAGACTCTCCTGTCTCTGCCTTTTCTTAGAGCTTAAGCATTAGAAAATCCTGTCCCAGATCTACTGTAAGATAGAGGTACCCAGAAAGTAAGGTTTAAAATCAAACTGCTCTATGTGGCCATTGCACTGATCTCTGGAAGGGCAGCCATGCAGGATGTGGTG